TGCTTTAATTTGCATATAAGAATTTTGTAAATGTAAAGATGCATTAAATTTAAAATCTAATTATTGAAAAGTGGAAAATATCAAAAATAGTCGAATGAAGAGTTATCAAGATAGAAAAAGAATTTTAATATTCAAAATGCGAATGCAATCAATAAATCCATCAACAGCATTCAAAGTAAATTAATATCCGCTTAGGAAGCCATATAATTCAAAACAAAATATTTTAATTATTTTATAATACGTGAATTATAAATTGAACTTATGAATTGAATAAAAATGTTTTAAAATATTTAAGAAAATATTCGTTTGAAATAAACAATAAAGAAAGTTTATAATAATTTTATTTTTCAAAAAAGGTTAATGTTTGTAATGTTTAATGAAATCAATGTATATTGTACTAGACTTACAGGATTTTATCTAAAAGTAATCAGTACTTGAAATTGTCGATAAAAGTTGTGTTTAATAGTATAAGCTCAAATTTTTATATAATAGTTTATATCATAAAATGAAAACTGTTTCAAATATTCTACTCATCTCTTTTAACTCTTGACTAACAAACTAGTGAGTTGTAAATGTAAACAATTTTTCAATAATATTAAGTCCTCTTTTCGTTCAGAATTTAGTGATAATTATTACCATTGGAGCTGATTTATAAAGAATAGATAATCAAACTACGTTTGTCTAACTGGAATTATAGTCTATTTATCATTAAAAAAATACAAGTTGATTGTATATATATTTGTCCTATATATATAAAGTGTGTATCATAACTTTTATTAAACTGACAACATTCATTAAAAACTTTTGGATTGTATTTTACTCAAATTGAATTTTTTCAAAACCAAAAGTGATAAAGTTATAAACTCATGTATCCGGTTTGCGATCACATTATACGAGGGTTGTATTCTTATTGTACAATAATGATATTCGGGCATTTGGAATATTGTACGCTCTATTGACATTAAAGCTTTGTATGACTTTCCACACAAATACGGCTCAGCCTCCTAATTTTTAACACAATGTGGCATAAATAAATCTTATAAAAGGATCAAGTAATCATACAGATTTATTGATTAACCAAAGAATCTTTTCTTGCATTATTGATAAGTGATTTGTTACTACTCAGCTGAATATTTAGGTTTACAAGATATATTTATTAGTCTGTGTCTAATTTAAAATCCAAAAAAATTTTAATATATAAATATATAAGATGCATAAAATAATTAGAGCATTAAAACTTTGATTTTGATATTATAATGAATAATAATCACGATGCCAACTCAATTCAATCTATATATATAATTACAAAAAAATTGTATTTACTACTTTAACGTAATAGTGATATATATATATATCAGAATATAAGAATTAATCATATATCATCGTATGAAAACTTATTTCTACTTATTTTATTACGTAATATTAGTTATCTAAAAGCTATTTTAACCTAGATTAATATTGAAAAAATATTTTCTAAAGAATGTGGGTTATTTATATACACTATATATTTTTTCTATTTATTTTTTTTTATATTTCATAACATTTTTTTTTTACAAATATGAAATTAAAAAATATTAAAATATTAAATATTCTATAGGCTTTATAGACAAAAATTAATATACTACAGCTATGTATTGAATAACATTTATTAAATATTATTTAAAATGTTAAATTATTATGGAAGAATTATTAGAGGCATGTAGTTAAATTATTTTTTATTTTTAGTTATATTTCACATGATTATTATAAGACAAGACGGTATAAATTTTGTATAAACGGTATTAAATAAATTTAATATGAATTTTTATAGAAGAATATTTAATATTTAGTAAGCCATTAGAGATATTTATATTTTCTAAAAAGCGTTTCAAAAATAAAATTTTACAAATTTACTTTTATTATGATCGAAAGTAAAGTGTAGACAAATTATAGAAGTTAAATTCAATTTTTAATTAAATAAATGTCACAAATAATATAAGAAATAAGTATAATAAATTAGATATTTGTTTATAAAAATATTTAAACGATATTTTTAAAGAGACTTAACATAAAAATGACTCAATTATCGTTATAATTAGTTTCATTATATAAAAGTTAATAAACGAAGTGAATATTTTTAATAAAATTTTACATTTATAAAAATTGTATATAAAATATATTAGTATTATGAAAAATTTATATTCTGAAATAAGGTGAGAAATAACGAAAACGAGATAAATATTTTATTTAATGTTTATTAAATAAAACTTAATATTATCATAATTTATATAATATTACAGTCAATAAATTGTTTAAAAAAATAAAATATATAGATTTATAAATAAAAAATTATTTCTAGTAGATGAGAACTATAAAAAATGAGATATTGAATAAACGTCTTTATGGATGAATACGATGAATTTTAAATACAAAAAGTAATGTAAACTGTTAATATTTATTGAATTTACATAAAATTTTTTATTAATTTATACCTTTTTATAAGGTTTTTAATAATATCTATATGAGAAATGATATTTTTAAAATAAAACACTTTATACATTTGCGATTCAAGAATTGTGAATTTCACTCTTATAATACATATCAAAGAATGTTATTTGAAGGCTTAGTTAATTGTATTATCTTAAAAAATGCTTCATTTAATTTTGCAATCTAATATATATAAATCGATAAATCAAATATACGTACATATTTAATTTTATCATGAAAAGACATAAATTTAAGTTATAATAATTGTATCATTTGGTTCCGATTTTAATACATTTTATATTTAATTAAGTTTTAAATATCTCTATATTAAAAATCATTGTCAACTAAAATCATTATGGTTTTGAAAAATAATGAAATAAATACTTTGGGTGTAAAATCAAGTTGTACCTACGCGAAGTATATATCTTAAAGTATATACATGAAAATGATAAAGACTTTAAATTTAGAAATTGAATAAACTTTATTCTAATCAATAAATATATTCCATAATTAATTTAATACATTGTCTCTGTATAAATATTTATTAAATAATAGTATAACATTTATTAAAATAAATTTTATTCAGATCGTATTAGTATTTTAAAATAATTTTGATACTTTAAACATTAATGTTGCTTTTTTAAAATTTTAATATGATTTCTGTAAATATAGTACATTAAAGAATGTATTTCATATAGTACAATTTGTTAATACAATTAAGTAATACAATTAAGCTAATACAATTTGTCAAAATATTATTCTATTGAATTAATAACATATAAATTAAATATTTAAAAATATTTTACTATACAATTAAAATAAAAATACGCCATAATTATAAAAAATTTATAATATAAAAATTGAAATATTTTAAAGTTTTGTAGCTAATCAATACGTTTATTTTTTCTATAGTGCATAATTAGAAAAGGAAATAACGATTGATGTTTTATAAATTATAAAATTGTTAGTAAATAAAAAGACAATTCTATCAATTTTAAGATGAAAATGTTGCATTATAAAAATTTTTATAACAAACAACACAAATCACATAAAATATGAAGTACCATAAAACTATAGGGCTTGCAAAATATACAATTATGTTAAATATTGTATCAAACATTTTCAAACAATTTAGTATAAAATATTAAAAATAGCATTTTAAATTTATTGTTTAGAAAGTTGAATTTTTTATTAATAATTTAGCTACTAATCAAATTCTTATAAAATCTATATTACATAAATTAAAAAAATATATGTATATCAATTCTTTCTAAATTTATATTAAAATGTAAAATGTATTTGTTATTAGCAAAAAATTGTTATTAAAAAAAATTCATTTTTTTTGATAATGTATATTTTTTTATAAAATAATCTTTGTGAAACTAAATAATTTTTTAATAATTAAAAGCCATTAAGTGAATATTAACATATATTTCAATGATAATAAGTATTATAATTATATATATAAAGTATATAATACAGTGTATAATTGTTATAATTAATAATAATTAATAATAAAAATAATACTTTAATTCATATTTAACTAATAACATATTTTTATAAAACAGGATTATCCAATAATGTAAGTATTTGAGTATATTAAATTTTTATAATTTTATTTTTAAATTATTAAAAAATTTTTATTTCTGTTGAATCAAATGTATATATATAATTACTTTGAACTAGTTGAATATGAAATAAAGTAATTATATATAGACATTTAATTCAACAGAAATAAAAATTTTTTAATAATTTAAAAATAAAATTATAAAAATTTAATATACTCAAATACTTACATTATTGGATAATCCTGTTTTATAAAAATATGTTATTAGTTAAATATGATACATTAATTAAGTAATTTTATTTTGTTGAAATTAAAAACCAATTTAAGAAATTTGAAACAAAGTGTGAGCATATTTGCGAAGAATATTATAAAAACTTAAATATTAATTTGACAACAAATTTATCTCTATTTCAAAGTATTTCATAGTTTATATTAATAGAAAATATAAAAAACAAACAAGAAATATAGCGATACCATTAATTTACACATAAAACTTGTTTAACTGTTATTGTTAAATCTTTATATAACAATAATAAAATACTTTATAGATGATACACATGATTTTAAAAATTAAGTACTTGCAGACATTAAGTTTAATTAGGGAAGCTTTAAAATATCATTACAATATACAAAATCCAAAGGTATATCCATATATTTTAATGTTTAAATACTTTATTTGAAACTGTAGGACAACTGAATATCTAGTATTTTAATGATTAAATAATTATATATAATTTTATAATTGAAATTTTGGAAAAGAGCAATCCGTATTTCTTTCTTTAACTTGCCTATCATGTGTTGCAGACAGTATCAATAGCATTCATGATTCTAGAGGTGAAACGGTAGTAACGTCATGTTACCAGATTTGAACGGAAAAAAAAGAAAAGGCTCGGTAAGCCTGCAATGCATCCCTGGGTGGGGAAGACCACGGATTGGCCAGGGGCCACGAGTTGGGGGCCCTCATATATGCGCATCGCCGCGACCATGAGAAACTTTACAACCACCTCAGCTGACGAACAAGAACTGTTACAACAAGCAAAAAAAGGCTCAGAGTATTTCAGTCTACATTTTTCTTCAACGGAAAGTCTAGCAAGATCAATCAGGATAGTAATAGATATTTAGAGGTCTTTAGAAAATAACAATGAGGTGGATTATGTATATACTTGGGCTATTTTTCATGGCGATGCGAGGTGGTTTTGTGCAAGGGCAACATAAACAACAAGAGAATGAGGAGGAGGGAGGAATTCTCAATTGTCTTTTCAAATCAAATTACGTGACTTGTATGAAGAAACGAATGGCTTGGGAGATAGATAGAATTGAAATGCAGATCACTGGTAGAGCTAGCCAAATTCCAATGTCCAAAATCATTGAGGAAAGTGGCAGCTTGCTGGCCAACGGCATGCATACCATTTTCAGACCGAAAAAAGACGATATCAAGACCCTGAAGACCTATAAGAACGCAAACTCTGAAATCGGTAAGATTTATTTTATTTTCTACTTATTTTTTGTCGAAGAATTCCTCAATATCTTACATTATTATGAATGTATTTAGTTCTGAAAAAATATTATCACAATCTTTACAATTCATTATGACAATAATACTTACACTGATAATATTTATAGCAACACTTCATTATCTTACTAATATAATTTATAAATGTATACAAACCCAAATAAGTATTAATTGATTATATCACTTAAATTTATAATTCGATTAATGATTTTCAAAATACTTTCTTAATAGAATAACTAAGTGTTTATAAATGTATTTTTTAATATGAGAAGTAGCACATTAACATAAGTCTAAGTCTAAGAACTACCATATATTAAATTTATGATTATATCTATATTTACAAACAAATACCTGCCTTTATTTTAATATACTTCATTAGATTTAATTGTAAAATTATCCAATTTTTGTATACTTAATACTTATAATTTGTAGTGTTCATTTAAAAATAAAATAGATCTTATTGAATTAAAATGATAGGAAATATTATATATCTAAGGGAATAATTAAAATTGATAATTTGAATTTTTCAATTTTATATTTTAACGTTATCTACATTAAAATAACATATAATTCTCTATTAATTTTATTATAAGACTTTAATTACATAACCTTTTTATCAATTTCAAAAATTTATGAAATACTTTTAACATTTTATTTCCATAATACTAAGAACGACAACAATGACATGCAATATAATATATATACTCATATGAGACGGAACCTAAATATACTTTCCCGTGTGCAACGATACGAAATCCAATATTTGCATTTGACATCGTTACAAGACAAAATAGTAACGGAAAAAATTCATACACCGAATCAAATTTAGCACGATTATAAAATGACTATCATCTGTCTACTATCAAAATAAATTGTGTTTTTATGTCACTGATCATATATATTTAAGCAAGCGAATATCACGACAAATCGTAAATAACGGTAAGCAAAATATAGCAAACTGTGAAATCCAAGATTATTCAATTGATTCAATTGAAAATTAATCGTTAAATTATCTATTATCATTTTGAAGTCTATTTATACGTAATTTAAAAAATTTTAACGAGATATGTATAGGCGCTTACAACTTTTCTTCACAGATGTTGGTGACAAATTGAATACGCCTTAAGGTTGTTTATTTGACGTTATAGATTATTAAGTGTTTTTTTTCTGTTGCATCAATAACATTTAACAATAACACTTTTAAGTAATACATGAAAAGATTCGTGTATTGTAAGAATTGTATAGAAAAAAATTAATAATAAAAATATTAGCTTTCAGGAATCATAAGTATATACGAATAGTACGTTTACTTAAATGCAATTGATACAAGAAACATTTATTTACATTGCTTATTCATTCTCATATTTTTATTATTATTAGCCGTATCATGATACTGCTGTTTATATATGATTAACTATTTTATCATTATACAATGATTTTCTATTTAACAAATGTTTGTATTTTAGATAAATTAATTTAATTAATTGATTTGATTTCATGATAATATTATGTCTTAAGTTTTTTCTTAAATAGAAAGTATAAATATTTTGTTTTTACAAAAATTTATTTAAAAAAAAAGATTTAATATTTATAATATAAAAAATAATAAAAATTTTTTAAATTATTTAAAAATTGGCCCTTGATTAATAGCTTTACAGCAAGGCTTTTTTTACTAAGAAAATAATAAAATGGAATAATTTATTAATTGATTAAAAATTTGTGATAAAATTTAAATTTAATATAATAAACATATTTGAATATTGTTAAGTAATACTTAATATATTAAATATCTTATATTAACCTATAAAAAATTAAATTGAAAAATAATGATCCGCTTTCTAAGCACCCAGTTTTTTCAACTATAAGTGCTGTATATATAAATGTATTTTAGACATTCAAGGTTTAGAAATGATTAAATCAAATGAAGTTGATTGAATTCAAGAAACTATAAATTATTCACATTCTAATCATTACTAATATTAGGTATATGCTATTCATAAGATAAAACAATTTTTTTAATAACTAATGATCTCTCAATAATAATCCATTTTGACAGTAATGATAATTTCTCCTTGCCTATCTACTAAAATATACAATTTCTGAGAGGACAATAGACACCTTGACCTATATGAAGTTTAATTTCGGTATGTTATACTAGTATGCAATACACTAAAGATGCGTGAGAGTAAACAACTCGAAGTAGAAAAATAGATTTCAAGGTCATCTTTCAAGGTCATCGTGATAAAGAATAACGAGTCCAATAGATTAATGGAGAATGAACATCTGCTAAACAAGAAAAAAAATATATCGTCCCCCATTTTACCATATGGTACTATTACTATCTCTTTCGGAGTTCTTTAGTTTTTCTATGTTTAAAAATGAGATATTATAAGCTATTAGAAAAGAAAACTGCACAGATTGCATACATTCGTTTATGTCTGAATTGCTAAATAAATTAGAAAACTTCTAAATAATATTTTATATCATTTTTAATACATTTTATTTTGCGAATATATCTGTAAGATATTTTCAATTAATTTTGATATTCTTTTATATTTTTAAGAGTTACAAAAGGTAACTATACATACTGATAAGCCAATCATTAAACGTTACATTAAATAATCGTTTTCAAATTTATTGAAAAATTGTTATCAATAAAATTTATTCTTGAAATGATACATACATCTTTATTTTTTTATGCCTCTAATATTTATTATAGCTATACGAATTTAATAATTTTTTCAATTTTATAATATGGGTAGATTAATAAAATAATATTTATTGGAATTCTACTAATAGGTCTAAATATGTATAATATTGTGAGTCAGATATTAAAAAAACTATCTAAGAGAATAAAAATATATACGAACAATTAGAAATTCATATTTTTTCATTGAAGGTTTTTAAATGCTTATTGAATATATTATTATTAATAGAAGACAGAATATACAGACATTTTTATTTGATTAGAAATATGTTTATATGTAATTTAATTAGATCCTTTTATGAATATATCAAAATATCAATTATATCAAATATATCAAATATATCAAATATAAATCAAGTCCATAATAATAATATAACATTATTTAGTTAATATTGATTGGAGAATATTAATATTTGAATAATTTTTAATAAATTAACCGAATATACTTCCGATGACATTAAATTTGCTGCGAATATTAAATAAGCTTTTTATTATTTTTATTTTTTACACATTATAAAAAAATATTCTACTTGTTAATCACTATAAGTTTATTTATTGGAACCTCATATTTCTTATTATCTTTCAAAACATAAAAATTTTGACTTGTATATATTGTATGTCTTATGCTGTTTTTACATTACTTTTTTATAATTATTTTTAATTTTTTACTAAATTTTAAATATTTAAAATATTTATAATGATATAAATAAATAATGTATTTCAATTTTAAAAGTTTTATAACTTGACTTTAAATAATTTAGTTCATTCTATGATATAAATCCAGATACCCTATAAATATTACTTTTATACCATAGCATTAAAAATTAAAAATATTTTTAATAAAAATAAAAATTTTTATTTAAGATCTAACTTTTTTTAAAAACGATGCATGTTTAATTTAAAGAAATTGTTAAGAATTATGATCATGAAATATTTAAACATTATGAATTATGACATTAAAAAATATATATTTTTATGGCAATGATGTTATTTGAGTATATAAATTTTAATTGTAATTACAATAACAATAAGAGCTTATGATTCGAGATTTAATTATGAATAAGATGTTTAAAAAAATGTTTAGTTAAAATAGAGAATCTTCTGTTCTTCACGATCCTTTTATTCTTGAAGGAGTTTACATATGTAAAAATCTATTAACCTTCATTGTAATGAACTAGTTTAGTATAAACTACGTGAACATAAGTTAATTATATATTACTATAACCTGTATTATATAATTTGCATATTTCATTTTTGTTAACTCACTAGACACAGAAGAGAAAAATGAATAATAAATCTTCAGTATGTATTAATAAATTGAGATCGATAAGTCAAAACGTTGTTTAAAATGTAAAACTCACTGCAATCATTTAATTTAATAAAAAACGATCAATGATAATCAACAACAAAAAATAGAGTTCATAATTTTAAGATATTAATTGAAAAGGCAAATAGTAATTTTTTTAAAAAATGAATAAAGTAAGTCGTCGTTTTTGTACTTAAATTTACTAGACCCATTAAATCATACCCTTTTACAAGTATGAATAAAAATTTAAATGGTACTGGCACTCAAACTACTGTCTGATAAAAGCTTATCGAAATTTACAGAGTCACGGAAAAAGAAATTAGGTAAAAAGAAAAAGAAGCATCTACAGAAGCTCCTATTGATTGTAATGCTGCTTAAGTCGAAAATCAGCCTCCTGCTACAACTTCTCTCGACCCACTTCCAGGTGAAGTTTTTTTTAATAGCTATTCTCAGCTTACTAATGAATGCTGCACGATTCTGGCTCGATATCAAGAAAGGTCATCGACCTTCTAAAGTTATTTATTATGAACATGCCCAGCATCAACACCATTATGACCATGACGACGATCATGGTATCTGGGGTAGATCCTCGGATGAAATACCTCAGGAGCTCGCCTACAGTGCTTACGCGCCAGAACTTTGATAAACCAACCTGAACTGCGTGATAGAACAAAAAAATTTGTAATTTTGATATACTTACTATCTTTGAAAAATACGGTATCGTTTCAATAGAACTAGCATTGATGATTTTAGCATAACTTCTAAATTGTGTTCGACAGACAATACAAAATTAAAAGCTTCACCTATCTACAAGAAGGTTTAGCCACAACGAAAATTAATGAATGAAAAATAAATATGAGCATAGATGAATTACATGCAATATTCATAATGAACAAATTTCATGTTAATTAAATTTGATAATTCAATTTTATAACATATTAAAAGTACCATTTTAAATTCTAATATTTTTTTTACCAAAACAAAAATGTCCATGAAACTAAATTCTCATAAAGTTTCATTTAATTTAAAGAATCTTCTATACGTAATGTATAAACTTATCATTCTCTTCTGTGCACTTTACTATTTATTTATTTAAAATGTTTATATTAACTAAATCATGCAGATATAAAAATCATTGAATAGAAAAGTTTATAGTAACATAATTTTCTTTAAATGGATAATTATAAAAAAATTAAAAATAACCATTTGCCATAAATGTCATGCGAAACGAATTATATGTAAAAACTATTGTATACATTGTTATTATATTCAGCACTTTATGTAATTTATTTAGTAATTTATTTTAGTAATGCTATTTATTTCAAATAGTGATTAAAAGTCAAATACTTTACCTAAATAAATATCATGAATAACTTGTATTTGTTCCTTCCCTTGTTAATTATATTGTCTTTAATTAAAAATATAATGAAACTATGTATATAATTTTTTATATTGAATATGCGGATGTAGAATCCAGTAATATACGTACAGTAATTCTTAAATTATATTTATTATACATATGTAACAGATTTTGAAAATTAAATAATTAACTTACGGATGATGTTTCAAAATTAATACATTTTTCATTTATAAATATATTTTAATTAAACGGTGAAAAAATTATATTGGAATGATATTTACATAAAACGAAATTATTTATTTAAAAATTATACAACGGTGAGCCAATATGTCATTTAAAGAAAATGTGACAGAATAATAAAACCTTTATTTAAAATGTATTTTTACATTATATTTCAATGTACATACAAAATACGTTAAATCTATTTTTGGCTTGTTCATAATTAGTACACAATTAATTATTTCCTATTAATTCGAGTCAATCCAAAAATTTTGCAATATATTAATAATGAAAAAATTTGTTATAGTTTCATTTTAATAATAAACTGCTAAGTTTATAAATAACTAAATTATTAAATATTTTTTTATTTTTCCTCTTTGTGAAATATAATTAGCAATGCTTGAACAAACATATACAAAATAATGAATGCTGTAAAATTAATATTAAAAAAGATAAAATACGTAATCATGAATTTGATATTTAAATTTTAGAGTAATGCTTTAGTATAACTAGGCTGTAATTTGCTTCATAATAAAATTAATGAATTATTACAAAACAAATATATTAAATAAATAATATTTATTATATTTATTATATATAATTACAATATTTTATTTATACATAAATAAATTTATATATTTAACTAAAAACTGTATTTATATTTATTTAAAGTATTAAACTTGTGTAAGAATGTAAAGCAAATGATATATTGAGTTTATTTATGAATATCGAATGTATTAAATAAATGTATTCACTGGCACATATATTGGAATCCATGTCTATTTAATAAATTACAAATAGTCTCTTATTCTAATATCTACCAGCGATTCATTGCACAATTGCAAAATTACCTCAGAATACATAAAGCCCTGAGCAAAGACAGGCTAGAAATCTCATAAAAATATAAAAATTAAATTCATCGTACATTATTCTACTTATAAATTTATAATATAATTTAGTTAGTTGTATAAGAACGTATATATATATAATATAATATATATATAATATAAATAAAATTCTGTAATCAAATAATTCGAAAAAAAAATGAAATATTTTTCGTAAGTAAAATATCTACAATACTTTTACAATTAACAGATCGCGAAATGTTATATATTGAAACAATGTAATTTTAATATAGAATAGTAAAGCACATATACTCACATATGAATATATTATTTTATATTGAAATACATTAATATATTAAATGACGAACTTTCTAATTGATGAGATAATTATGTTAACAAATTATCCTTAATTAGCGAAAGCCTTGGAGGATAAAACAGAAAAGTTTACATATTAATATAATTATTCAATGAATTCTTTTCAAATTAATAATGTAAAAGTAATCCTGAATAACTTAATATTGGAATATTAAATTTTGCTATTGCATAAATAATATACAGTATTCAGTAAAATAAGATTATTAAGTTAAAATATTTTTAATAATTTATTTAAACACTAAGTATTTTAATTTTACAAATATTTCCATATAATATAATATAGAAAATTTTTTATCATAAATTATGTATAAAATGTAAAAATCAATATTAGTATCAGTATAAAATGTAGCTATAAATAAATAAAAATTCAAATAAGACATATTTTTATACAATCATTTTAGTGCAATTTATTATTGTTAAAAATAGAGTAATAATATAATAATATAATAATACTTTTTTTACAGTTGTAATGATTAAATAACTAAATTTATTTATATACTTTAATAAAATATCTGGATCAATTTAGAAGTTAAAACTACAAATTATTATCGATCTAACATGTATAATATAAAACTTATAACTTAAGTTATAAATTTGAAGCTACGCGTAGTGCCGAATATTTAATATTTAAAAGTTCATTAATTCTTACAGGATTAATCATTGCTTGTGCCCAATCATAAGAAAAAAAAGATTTTTAAAACTTATACATATATCAATTTATTATGGTAGAGAAAAAATAATAATAAAAAGATAGACTTAAATAATCTTCTATTGTAATATATTACACAGTATTTAGCTATTACAAAACTCTGAAATGATTTGAAAATTATAGTAATAGTACAAAATTATCAAGAATCATAAAGGTAAATAAAATTGGATATCTATACACGTTGTAAATGTATTTATTTAATTTTTATTAATATTTAGAATTAATAATAGTGAAAAGGTTTCAGAGTTATTATGAAGTTAGAAATACTCACTTGAAGACAATTGAATTTCAGAAGGAAAAAAAATAGAATAATAATTATGTATAAAAAATACATATTTGTATAACTATAAATTTGATTATTATATGAAAAAAAATCTAAAGGCTCTTTTTCGTCATTCTTCTAATTTTCTTAATGTATAGAATATATTAAAATTCACTTTTATTTCTATTTATGAAATAAGCCTATACACCGAAGCTTACATACAAAGAAAATAGCTGAAAAGAACGCAAAGGCTTTCTTCGTTAAATTCGAAATAAATGTTAATTTATTAAGACTGGATGTGCAAACAAAAATAATTTTGAAATATATTATAGTAAACATAAATACCGAATATATAAAAATCTTAATTTGAAAATAATTAATAGGAATATATAAATATTACTTACTCTTTGATGTCTGTTATTTGAATAGCAAATAACAAAAATGAAATTATTTAAATGGTAAATATATTAAATATATATTAATTTTCAAATACATATAAACATATGTCAATTTAATAACGACAACTATATTTTTTATTCTATTCACATAATTAAAAAAGAAGCATATTTAATTATATAACAATTATAAATTACTTTATAGATCAATTGTCATAGTAATAAAATTAGAAAGATATTTCTTAAATACACCAATTAAACAAGGAATTTTAACATGTACATCTCTCTAGAATTACATAATTAAAAAAGTGAGAATATAGTATTGAAATATGAGTATAGTATCGAATGATAGTACCTTCAATTTATTCAGTTTAAGAATGTAAATGCAATTTTTTAAATATAAAAATTTAATTCAATATTGTTCTTTCATAATTAATTTGTATTCGTGACATTACAATTAATTATTTTGACATGCGCATTATTTATCTGAAATTTACATTATAATTTTATATTATATTAAATTATTATAAATATTAAACAATAAATTATATTTAAAAAGTTTAAACTTTATATTTGGAAAAAAATTAGAATCAAAATTTTATTTAATAATTTTTTTTATATTTTTTTTTATTTTTGGTAAAATATTTAAATTACATATTATATACTCTGAGATTTATTTATTAATAATGTATATATATAATATGTAATAAAATATATTATAGTAGCTCACTTTTATATTCATTTCTCATAGAGCTTTGTAACAAAAATTAATAAAAGAATTTTTACTATAATGATAAATTATTATACAATCATTTTATCCTATAAAAAAAAGAATTTATTGTCATTTAGGAATTCATTATCATAATTAAAGTGAGTCTTAATTTATGCGTACCAATTAATAATAGATAATAAGAATTAAATATAAATAATTTTAAAAAATAAAAGACATTTTCATGTTATATGAAATACAAGGTGATAATCACTCCTTTCTTTTCCAGTATCTTTGGAAAACTAACTATCGTTTCAGTGAGTTCAGCTGAGGTTTATTAAATTATACTTTATTTCATTATAAATGTATTCATTGATTCAATTTAAAAAAAACTACAATAATGTCAAAACTATATGTATCAATTGGTGTCCAAGTCAATAATAATGTTTTTATGCAGATACTCTGCATTAAATATAATATTTTATGATATATGTATATATTTTAAATGTATGAATGTTTGTCTAACTTTATTTTATTTAACTTTAAATTCATTTAATTAAATTTTGTAATAACTTTTATGTAATATATTATACATTTAAATTAACCATAATTTTACTTAATATGTATTATTTTAATATTAAGTATATGTTCGAGAATGAAAAGAAAATCTCTCGAATTATATTTACTAGAAAAACCTTCAATAACCAATAAAAGGGGGATTATCAAACGGATACGAAAAACTAAGAAAGTCTCGCCAAGGCCACATGAGACTCGAAAAGGATTGTACATCTGTGAACTCCTAAACCACCATTTATGGCTTTTGACCTACAGCGTAGCAATTGTTTTCAATGCAATAAAACGACCCTTGCGAGCTCACATCAAAACCCGACTAGACTGTTTATACTAGTATATTTTGAGGCTTAAAATATTTCAAAACAATTGAATGGAAAACATTTCTTAAATCCGTTGCAACCCGAAACTTGGCATACGCGACTCTCGACATTCTGCGTCGCACGTGTGCCTATAATTTTACCAAGAATACTAGGTGTTCATGCCTAATTTCCTCGGAAGTGGGAAAAGGGCGTGTACAATTAGCATAAGTTTGGAAATCGGCACGCTCTGATTGGAAAACTATGACGAGATCCTCCTTGAGTAGGGGTTCGCGACAAGAGACCTTAAATGTTGGGCTAAGAATGCGAAACGCACCTTTTTTCTTCAAAAAGCGACAAATCATTCAGAGTGAGAGTGAGCAGTCTAGGGAAAGGTTAAGTAATAGAAATTAATTGTCCAAGAAAGCCAAGCCTAAAAATTCACTCAACACAGAAATAAGTGAGTAATTCGCCACAAGAATAATGCATGCTGGTGAGTAAAGGAGGCACGCCGCATATGATTCGTGTCCCTCTCACCGCAAAGGCAGATCAAGAATAGTGCATGCTGGTGAGTAAAGGAGTCACGCCGCACATGATTCGTGTCCCTCTCACCGCAAAGGCAGATCAAGAATAGTGCATGCTGGTGAGTAAAGGAGTCACGCCGCACATGATTCGTGTCCCTCTCACCGCAAAGGCAGATCAAGAATAGTGCATGCTGGTGAGTAAAGGAGTCACGCCGCACATGATTCGTGTCCCTCTCACCGCAAAGGCAGATCAAGAATAGTGCATGCTGGTGAGTAAAGGAGTCACGCCGCACATGATTCGTGTCCCTCTCACCGCAAAGGCAGATCAAGAATAGTGCATGCTGGTGAGTAAAGGAGTCACGCCGCACATGATTCGTGTCCCTCTCACCGCAAAGGCAGATCAAGAATAGTGCATGCTGGTGAGTAAAGGAGTCACGCCGCACATGATTCGTGTCCCTCTCACCGCTGAATCAGATTGAATTACGATATCGCTGTAAGTACGTTGATACATATATTCTCTTCAATTATTGTCAGCCGGCGACAGAACCGGCATAAGACAACCATCAAGATTATCTCACACTCTCCAATCAGTAGTGTGCAGCAATTATTTATCTGTGCAATTTACATCAATTAAACGATTTCAAGGCATCTTGTGTAGTGACACCTCCTGTATAAGAAGCCGATCAAGAAATCATATCTTCATATAAGATACAAGAAGATTCTATAACATCCATATGTAAATAGTGTAATAAATTGTATAATAAATATAATTAACCAACTCTCACGACTCTTGTACAGCCCCTACATCTCACCCCTTCCTGAGCGTCTGCTACGGCGGGCGGCAAACTAAGCTATTGAAACATTGGCGGTTCGAGCCAAGAATTACATCCCTACAACTTTCGAACAGTATAAAAAAACATTATTAATAATCATAGAGAATAAGAAGACCAAATATAAGTTTTATCTTTATGTCTGTCATATAATTTTGGTAATACGAATTTCATTATTTTTAGAATTTGTAAAATCTTATTGAAAATGTTTTGAATATTAAATATTTCTATTTTTTACAATCGATATAACTTATAGATAAAAATTAATTATTTTTTATAAAATGAATTTATATATAAATTTTTAGACATAAAGACATTTGTCTTCATCGTTTAATTAAAAGGATTATCTTAATTTAAATAATAACATAATTAAAAATATTTATAATAAATTGTCAAATGTATATTAGTGTACTATATTAATATTTATTTATAATAAATATCTGTTATTGATATAATTACTTATGTTTTAAAAAAAAACATTTTATGCCCATAAATTAAAAAACTATTAAATTTAAAAATGTTATTTTATTTGTATATTTTTTTGCATATTCATAATTTATTATAATAATAAATTATGCATTCAAAATGAAATTTCTTTTATCCACTTTTATCCAAGTTTAAAAAATTTTTAATAAAAATAATTTCCTCAATAAAAATCACTTTCAATATTAATCAATAATTCAAATTATCTTATATAAATTTATAGTTTTAAATACTAACAATATTTGTAAATTCGTAATATTAAATTTTTATTTTATTCAGATATATGTTGAATGGTCCTAGCGAGGTATTATATTTAGAAAAACATCACAAATAGCTGCAGTTTTATTACAATTAATTATTATATTTTTATTTATACATCATATTATATTTGAACGTTTTCTTTGTTTTAGCACACTATTAAAAGTATTTAAGGATATTTAAGTCGTTGTACAATTTTCAGAACAAATGAAAATAGATATAAATACAAATTATATTTACCTATATTACATTATTGTACTTGTACTAGTAATTATCAATATAATAAATTTAAAAATATTTTGTAGTTTCGACAGACATGGAATCTAAACTATCTGATTTATAACTTAAAAAAAGTAATACCCATGAAAAATATGAATTGATAATGACAATATCATGTCAGAAATATGATAGTATTATGACCGAAATATTACAGATGATAAAATGATACTTCTTTATATTTGCAGTAGCTGTGAAGTAAAATATTACTATTTGTTATACTTCTATATTTATGTACAAGAAATTTTATACTCATAATAATAGAATTGATTTCTTATTAAATTTGAACCGAAATAAGAGATTTTCAGTTTATTACGCGTCTATTTATGACCTAATTTCGATCAAGAAATCAGGTTCATCTAGATCCACTATATTGTTTCTTCTGTAAAATGAATCCGAAAGTCAAAATATTAATTACATATTTATCAAGTTTTAAAATAAAATCTATCTCAACTTTATTTGGATTGCTTAGCTGGATAGTAAATCTTTTGGTTTAACTTTTTATTGGATTATTAATGCTTTGCTTCACATGCTGTGAATATACCTGAAAGGCAGTTGCTAGGGCATAGGTGATTTGCCTAGCATGATGTTTAGATTCGCAGACAAAGCTGTGGCACTCAAAGGGCGACATTTTCCGAAAATCATCAGTCTCTCTTACGATAATCATAGAAAAGATTCTCGTGTAAACGATGTCCTGCACTCCATATGAGATACTTTCAATGGGATAGATCCTGGAGTGGATAGTAATGCGGTACTTGTCGAGAGGTAGGATCCCGACTTCATCATCATTGATAATGAGTTTAACAAAGGGCAGAATAGTACCGATAGGCAAAGACTTGGCTGAAGCAACCATGTTGTCAACGGGCTTCCGGGTGTGTTTGATGCCCCAAAGACCGCGGGCATCGTGTGATCCAAGATATTTTACCTGAAAGACCTGTGGTAAGTTACTCGAACACTTAAATCTGTTTCTTTCAACAGAAAGTTTAGAAAAACGTGCAACTAGTTCCTTGCGTTGATTGTCATTAATACTTTGCTTCAACCGCTTTTTGATTTCCATCTCTATTGTTACCATCTGCAACATCAAAATCTGAATGTACTGCTGATTCAGAATTCAAAAATTATTTTTAATTTTACATTTATCCATTTATATATAAATTTTAATTATCGCTCGTCAATTATTTCAATTTTTAATATATATCCGAATAAAAAACTAAAATTAAAGAACAATGAGTAAAGTTAAAACGAACAATTTAGAGTTATATCGATTTCTTAAATTAAATATTCGAATTTTTTATCATATTACTGACTTATACTTATTATTAATGCTTATTATTCAATTACGGATACAAGAACGAATAGAGTTTATTTTAAAATCTAGAAACTGGTTTCCTGTCTTCAATATCTATTTTAATTTCTCTCTATTTTATAAATGATACATTATCTCGTAATCATACACAAATAAAATGATAAAATTACGCTTAGAAAATAAACAAAGCATTTGATTACAAATGCATGAATGGATTTGTATTTAATAATAATTTTCTTAAATAATATATTTTTTATTTATAAAACTACTATTTTAATTTAATTTACGAAAATTTCGTCAGTTTTAAATAAATAATAAGAAGAATGTTAATAAATTTCCTCCTAATAATTAATACAGTATAAAAATTAAATATCTTTAAAAATAATTTATATTAATTTACAATACAATCTGGTACAAGCAAAGATTAATTTTAAATAAGTTTCATAATAATTACAGATGTATAAGAAATAATTGATCGCATAAAAATATATTTTATGTAATTCAACATTTTGCTCTAACACATGACATTCTTATTTCAATATTATACCAAATTAGTAAAAATATACATAATATAGATAAATATCCAATAAATATATAAATATACTTTATATATTCTAATTAATAAAATTAAAAAATTTTTAAATACCAGATAAAAATTTAATAAAATTAAACTAAATAAATTAAAAACTGATATTTTATAGCATTTCACATAAAATTTATGTTTAAAAATATAAAAATATAATGCACTGTTAATACTGATTATTTGATATTAATCATATTAATAAAAAAGTTTAATGTTTTATACAAGATACAATGCTTATATTTAATTAATACAATATTTATATTATTGAAATTGCATAACTATTCACATCTGCCTACTTTTTATCAGGCAAATCGTTAGTTCAAGATAAAATTATGTATGAATTTGATCATAAATCTGAATAAATTTGTTTTAAATGAATAGCTGAAGCTCGAATAAATATAAATTCTTTAGTTTTTTCCTTTAATTTTAAGGAATGATGATTTCGAACAAATTTTAATTTCTTTCAACCGATAAAGTGTAATTTAGTTAAATGCGTAAGTTTTGTAATTAATTTAATCTATCTTTATCTTATTGATATCTATGATTATTGCTACACATATCTTGTCAGTAATCAAATAAATTAATGATAATATCATGAAATATTTAAACGCGATTAATTAATCAATAAGTATATTAAGAAACATCTTTTCAATAAGTTTATGTTTTGGTTACATTCAAACTTAATTATAAATTATATTAATTTATTAGAGAATTAGTCTGTTTTGACAAATTAATAAATAAAATCTTAGTTTATAAGAATACTTTATTGTTCAGCATAAGTGAGATAGAACGAAAGTCATGAAAGTATTGTTGCATATTTAATTATTCCAGATACTATGAAGAATATTTAATAAAACGGAGAATAGGGCGACCGAATAGATTAAAGTAATTGTGTCCTCAGAAAGATAATAGAAAAAACTATGATTATAGTAAATAATTATATAGTAAGATTAATAGTAAAACTAATATTATGATTATGGTATTAAAAAATTGTTTCTCCCTTTACATGTGTAGAAATTTTTTTACACAATAATAATACATAATGAAAAACATATTTATCATAGATAGTCAACAAACCTGTATACTCACGTTTCCAGTGCTAGCAGTCGGGGTACTATCAGCGACCTGGTTCCAAATAAGTTGCTGAGATTTAATTTCTAAATGATGTTCAACGACATTCGATATCCTGGGTGTATCATAGTTGACTGCTGGACTACAATCCTCTGGCTCATCTTCGATCGAGGCATCAACGCTACCATCTCCGGGTTGACTTTTGATTTCTGATAGGTCCGGAATAACCTTCCACTTTGCCAAGTCCAGCACCTCCACAGATATATTCAGAGTCGCCTTATCGATTACTGTGTTTTTTACTTTCTTCATGAAGTCTAAAATGTGAATGTTAATAATCACTTTATTACCATTTCAACAAATTAACCGGCACTCTATCAGAGAAATAGCAATAGAGATGAATCAAAGGGAAAGGATGATTGAGCTTAAAGCGTTTGACACCGGCGGTTGGCAAATGTAATAAATAGATGATTGTGCGAATGTACAATTACTGGATATTGCTCATAGTCAGATTTTTCTTCCCGTATTATGAGTTGCTTTTTCAAACAAGTGAGCCTATTTTTTAACCCAACCTATATAAAGTCACATAATTCTTATAAGCTACAAATTTGCATAATATATATGTGATTTGAATAGGATAATATGGCACAAATATTTAATTACAATAAATAATTAAATATGCTGTCAGTAAATTTAAATAAAGTATAACAAACATTGTATAGATATCTATAAATATTTTTATATAATAAAAATACTTTTGAAATATTTTAAATTAATATATAAATCTATTAAAAAATATTATTTTATAAAAAACTATCATTATACTTAGCACCAGAATTTATGATTTTTTCATTGAAAAATAATATATAAGTATATTTATGTATATTGCAAGTAAAAGGCAGAATCAGAAGTATTTATTATTGTTTTCAAAAATTTTAGTATTGCAAAAATGTATTGGTTTTGAACATTGAAAGAATTTCATTAAAGTAATTTCAACTTGATTGTGATTGCATTACACTTAGTAGCTTTAACTTATATGAGGGGTGTAAACAAAGTAGTCACCGATTAATTAATCAGATTCTTATTCAATTTTTTTCCAAAAAAAATGTATTTAGATACTACGATAAATATTTTTAAATAAAACTAAACATTTTGAAATGCTAATAAATAACAGTACACAAGCAGAATAGATTACTGCGAATATTTGAATTTTTTCCCAAGATGTTAACACTGAGATAATGACTACCATCACGGAGTGCATCGATGCCTGAAATTAGAAAAGGATAAAGAAATAAAAGTTTGTTAACGTCTGGCCCTAGAGCGGAAAACAGCTGCCAGCTAGTAATGTGCACTCCTCTTGCACCTGACTGATGCAATATGATTCTTATTTCTTTCAACCAGACTATGCGCCTTTAAAGAGTCGAAAAAATTCAAATAAGATATCTAACAATATCATTTGAAGTACGTTAACATTTAATCGTTCTATTTTTATTTAAAATAAAAACATTTTTTATCTTTGAAATTATTATCATATAATAAAAGTCTCTTATAATAATATATTGATCAAATATAATAATACACAAGTTGCAGTAATACAAAATTTATTAAAATTTCACATAAAAAGGATAACTCAATTTTTATTAAATAATAATAAAAAATTTTAATACTAATGTATATTTTTCTATTATTAACATAACACGATAACATAATAATAAAAGTAATTAGTCTACATACATTTATATTATTTTTATAATTGAACATTTTACAGACACATTACAGTAGCTACAATCATAATATGTGAAAATTTTAAATATTTACTAAATCATAATATATTTTTAATAAATTAATCATAAATAATAATTGTTACTATAATTTTGAATACAGTTCATATAATGGTTAATTAAAATATTATAATCTTAGGTTCATTATTTAATCTATGAAATATAATAATACTATTAAAATATTTTACTGTGTCTCACAAAAATAATGTGTAACTTCAGAATAATTGTAATTATATAATAATCATTAATAATCGAGAAGAATCTTACAAGACTTGGGGAAATAATCAAATATTTTACTTTTATATTATACATTATTATTCTTCCTATTACAACATAATAGGAAAAAAGAATAATATTTTTAAATAAGAATTTTGCTTAAATCATTAATATAAATACATGATTACTTGATTTTAAATTTCTTTTTGAAGACAAAATTAACGAAAAAGATTTATAAAATAATAATAAACTGCAATAAGATTTAAGAAAAACGCATACAAATACCTTAATTGTATTTGTACTAGTAAAAATACCAAAGATATGGCAAATTAAGTACTTAAATATTTAAGGGGCCGTTGAACAGACAGGAAATGAGTCAGGAAGAAGAGGAATATACACGAATGAAAATACGAAATTCATTCAGGTATTTACCGCGATGTTCAGCTTCACCTTACCGAATTATATAAATAAAATTTGTTTTGTAATTATACTATCAACAGTATAATAATATAAAACAAATAAAAGTATTCCTTTTGAACTATAAATTTTTAACAGTTTATAACCAAATTCGTATTAACATAATATAAAACTATTTTCTAAACGCAACCTCCAAATTAATGAATATCAACAAGAAGTTGAAATGGAATAGTAATGATATTTAATGCCCAAGATCAATCAATATTAAAAAAAAATTAACAAAATTTTAATTATAAACATTTATTAATTTAATATACTATATGCTTAAAATAGATTCTAAATCTAATGTATTATACACGTGTATGCAACTCTTGCAATAAAACATTATTTTTATGACTGTCAGTTGTTAGAAACAGAATAACATTTTTAAATATTACTATTTGAATTATCAACTAAAATAAATTTTTTATTAAAAAAAATCAATATAAACAAATAAATAAATAAAAATTTTAGTAGTTTTCAAAAAAATCCTATAATTTTTAAAAACTATACTGGTATTATTCTTATAATAATATAATTGTAGATATCAAATTATTATTCTGAAAGTTTAACTGAATTAGTGTGAATTGAAATTTAGCCAATTTTTTATAAAAAAATGCCTATAAATTCGATTAAAAGTAAATAAATTCCAATTTCTAAACATTAAATTATCTTTTTAAATTCAATTTTTTCTTCGAAAACTGACCCATAAAATACTCGTGAATGAAGGTTATAGATAATCATAATTTCACTTTTTTAAAAATATTAAAAACCAAGAAATTACATTAGTACACAAGTAAATATCAATAAATCAAGTAAAATAGAACCGTTGATTAATAATCTTAAAGAAATATATCAAGCATTGATTAGTTTCGTATTTTCTATACTATATGTAAAGAGTTTTAAAACATTAAATATTATTTACATTCAGTTTTTATGTTACAAATGAAATTTAAATACTAATAATGTACAAAAGTACAATGTACTAATAATAATGTACAAAACGTATCAGTCGCGATCCATGTTTCGTAAATAAAGTATCTTTTTTGTAGAATTGTTTTACAATCAATCTTTAGATTAAAATAAAACACACTTATTGATCTCCAATCTACTTTTTATATTTAATAGATATTTTAATATTGATTTTACATATATAACATGAGATTGATAAAAATGGTCAAATATAAAGTAAATTTAGTTTCTTTATAAATAATACATATATTACTTAATATATGAAGTATAACCACGTGAATTTAAAACTGAAATGAATTTCAATTTAATGCAAAAATTAGATTTTTCTCGACAGTTTATCAAATTTTGAGATTGATGGATTAATTTAAAATATAAACTGAATATACTAATCCTATTTTCTATTAACTCTACATATGTTGGAAGCATATATGGATGTACAATTCTTTAAATATTAATATATAATAAATTACTTAAATTCTTTGATTTTTGACATATTTCCAATATGATAAAATAATATAAAATATAAAACGTTATTGGTACATATATTTGAAATATTTAATAATTTCATCAAGAAAAATATATTTTATACAACAGATTATTATAGATTTCAACGAACCCTTCTTTTTTATATCATAAATTGTAAAAATTTAAATATTTTAAATTTTACAATTATCTTCAGTTATGTTATTTGTATAAATAAATAAATTTTATACAAAAAAATAAGCAACCAATTAAAAATTTATATTCTTGCATAAATCAAAAGCAATAATAAAATTATTTCATATTCTTATTTAAATAATTATTATAATTTTACTTAATACTAAGTAGTAATTTTGATTTCTATTAGAATTTATTATATTAGTTTTAGACATTTTTAAAAATTTCATGATACATTCTTAAAATATATACCTAAAATTTAACCTTTATAATTCATATGCATTAAATAACAATTAAGAATATAAACTCTTCCTGGTTTATTTAAATTATTTTCTAAAATTTTGAGATATTATTTTAACAACTAAAATATTGTAAAGTGTATTAAAATGTTTTTTAAAAAGATTAAAATTTATACGGATGGTTAAAAATTTTTTTAATACGATTATTTATAGTTAACATTACAAACGTAAATTGAACAATAATTTTTCGTTTTTTTGTTCACATTCAATACAAATGAATACGGATGCATAAAGCAAAATTATAATTAAATATCTATAGACAATATTAAATATCGTTAGATGTAAATAAATATTTAATATTATTTTGAGAAACTTCTTTGAAGTGAAAATTTTAAAAACAGAAACTGGTAAGAAACAATAAAATATTTAAAGATTTATCAGTCAAAAAGGAAATAAAAAACTGAAAAATTCAAATATACTAAGAATAAAAATAAATTAAATAGCAAGTACAATAAAATTGCACAAGAATTAAGAAAGCAACAAAGAACTGTGGTCGAGCGAATTTGATGATAAATAGAATAAGCAAAAAGGAAAACTAATTAACAAGTTAAATTAAGGTCAAACCTGAAAAAATCATATGCTTATTAATAATAAGAGTATGACATTTAAATAAAAACACTTTCCACCTTCAAATCTTACACAAGCATTGTTCCAAGGAAAATAAGCTTTGAAAATGTAATCTTACTACGAAAAGTTCCAGCAACACAACTTATTGAAATGCGTTCGAAACGCATACTGAGAAAAAATATAGAATGGCGGCGTTATGACCTCAAGCCGCTGATAAAGGCCGCGGGAGGCCGCCGTGTGCTTATTTCGAATAAAATTCATTATAATAAACTACATTGTTTAACATGAAATCAAAATCATGATAAATATAATATAAGAAGCCTTCTTTACTTGTCAAATAATAATTCAGAAAAATCATTTAATGGTTATCAACCCAAGAGAACATTTAGAATTGA